GAAAAAGTCTGTTGCTTTTTCCAGTCCAGCTAAACTTAGGGTCTGCACACTAATGAAGCCTCCTGAAGAGAAAAAAACCGAAATGGAGATTCTCCTAGAAAATGTTTGTCCAGGAGCCCTGATGACTCTGATGAGGTGTTTCTGTCCCTCTATAAATATAGACACTTGCATATACTTTCTCTAGAAAGAAAAAGTGTATGCATGTGAAGGACTTTTAAAATGCTACTGGACAGACTGGGCACAGTGGCTCACACCTGTAATTCCAGCACTTTAGGAGGCCCAGGTGGGCAGATCACTTGGGGTCAGGAGTTCGAGACCAGCCTGGCCAACATGGCAAAACCCCATCTCTACTAAAAACACAAAAAATTAGCCGGGCATGGTGGCACATGCCTATAATCCCACCTACTCTGGAGGCTGAGGCACGAAAATCACTTGAACCCAGGAGTTTCAGGCTGCAGTGAGCTATAAATCCCACCACTGCACTCCAGCCTGGGCAACAGAGCAAGACCCTGTCTCAAATTAAAAATAAAATGCCACTGAACAAACAGGAACTACAAGTTATATGGTCAACATTTGTACTGCTCATTGCCTAAGTCTAGGGGCAGAGGATTGTGCCCAGGTAATGACTATTAGAAAAACCAGGGAACTTCCTCTAATCAATCCTTTATTGAGTGGTTCTAGTTCTGGCATTCAGAGTTGTGTATTTGGTTTCAGTTTTTATTCTATTTACATCAAGAGAAAAAGCTTCCAGCAAACCAAATGAAAAGCAAGACACATCAGCATCTAAAGAATTTCCATATTTATTTTACATAATTTTACCATACACATCTCATGCCAACACACAGGAGGCATATACAAACAAACGCACCAGCTTCTGTTTTCCAAAGTCACATGGCAATAAATAAGGATGGGTGGGTCCTTTTTTTTTCTTTTTTTTTTTCTTTTTTTTTTTTTTTTCCAGGAAACAAGACTTCATTTCTTTTTAACTGTACAAAATTTACATTGTGAAGGATGAGGGCAGCGATCCAGAGCTGAGGGATCTGGGGTTTGAGGTCTGATTGCAAGCTCAGAGCAACTTCTGGAATCCCGCAGCCCTGAACCTGCTTGTTTGGCCGAACACAGTCCTCAAGTGGGAAAGTTGGTGTGATTCTTGCCTCTCGGTGGGCAACAGATGAGAGTGGGGCTGTCCTTCCTCTGTTCACCTGTGCTCTGCCTCCCTAAGCAAAGGATTGCTTGGTGCACCTCCCAAACCTGCAGCTGTCTCCTCACCAGAGCTAGCAGCATGAAACTGTGCTTTTAGTGTGGTCCTACCAAGCAGAGTGTGGATGGGATGACTTTGCTGAGCTCTCTCTTTTTGGCTCCAGTCACTCACTGTGTTTAGAGCAGTTGGAGCAACTACTGCAAAAAGGGCCAATTGACCAATCCAAGAAAGAGAGAGCCAGTGATGTGCTTTTTATTTAGCTTTCAGCATGCCCAGAGCCCTTCAGCAGCAGGCAATAAAACAAAACTCATTTCCGCTTAATTGAATTTTTCTTCATCTCACAGCTTCCAATTTTTAAAGTGCAATGTTTAAAAATGAGCCTCCTCAGGCCTTCCAGACCCTGCTGGCTGGGGAGGTATGGTAATTATTCTCATGGTTATAACCAAGTTGTCAGTCGTGGCATGTGGGAGTGGAGGTGCAGAGAGTGGGCTGTCATACAACACACAGCCTTTGCTCGTCAGAAGCCTTGAGCCCCCTCCTGTAAAGAGGCAGTTGGAAATCACCAGCTTGAGCTTCAGAGATAGAAATGTCTTTTGTTTTACAGATTTCTTACACTTCCTTGCAAAGTGAGCTTAATGATGAAGATCTAATGGCCCAATTATCTTACTAGGTTTCATGTTTTATACTGGCCCCCCAAAAGTTTAAGGACACTGCCAAATGCTTTTCTTGTGTCTTAATTTTTTCCTCTTTCCCTGATGTTTCACAGTACTCATTTGCAGGAACAATGTTAGCAATATGATAGTTGATCTTTGTTTTACATTATATTCATAACTGTCAGATGAGACAAGAAAGAGAAAGCACAAAGACTGACAGGAATTTGCCTGAGGTTGCACAGCAAGTCCTTGAAGGGCCAAGAACCTGACTCCCAACACTGATTTACCCATCGGGCCAACTTCTTAGCCTTTAAATCTGGTATTTCCTCCATGGTTTCATTACGTTCCAACAAACAGAGATTCCTCCATAGCCCCTCAGTTTCCATTTTGCTTATACCAGTTACCACTGGAACTTGGGGTTTTAACTAATTTGCTCCTGGATTCAAGAGCTTCCTACTCTAAAGTTGGCCAGGCAAGCACTGCAGATAATGATAGCCTCTAGAAGGTCTCATTTCATTTGTAAAATTCATCCATGTCATTTTAGCAAGGGGGGAAACAGCTATCATGTAGCACCTTATACCCCATAATAGGCTTCCAGGCAATAGAGGAGTGCCTCTAAGAGAAGCTAAAGGTAATGAATGCCCAGCTCTTCTCCATTTCCAAACCCCAGAAGAGTCTTGTCTTGCAATGGCTCATTAGTGGCACCAGCCCATCCATAATGCTAACCCCACCTGCAGGAAGATCCATTTAAAATCTTAGACCTACTGTGGCTGTGCTTCTAAACAGGCAGCAATGTTTGCTGCTTTCTGGGGAGGTGGCTCTGGAAAACAAAGCTCTCCTGGTTTTCAGACCAGTGCTCTTAAGGGGTTTTCCAGCTACCCAGCCGTACTGACGCCAAAGAACTATTGACCTCGTCAACTGTTCATTGAGTTCCTCAAGAGATTTATTATGTTAGTATAATGAAGAAGGCCTCTACTTCCACTACTGAACTGGGAATTAGTATGATTAACTTACAGAAACAAAAACTGATCAACTTACAGTGATCTTAAACAGTGCTACACAGAGGAGGATGCCCCCCACCTTTAAAGAGCGTGCTCTCCCCCACACTATACTCACCAAAAACATCAAGGGCCTCTGAAATCCCATGAGTTGCTAAACCAAATAGTCAACTTGCAACAGTGATCTGGGTGGGCAGCTTTTCAACTGGTTCATTGCCCTGCAGAGCCTTTTCTCCTGTGTACTTTAAGCAGCCATCCTCCAAAAAGACGACTGCATATTCCTTTCCTCACATGGCATTTATGTCTTCCTACCCACCCCAATGTTCACGATTGGAGAATTCCCAATAGCACAGAACTGGCAAGGCTTAACACACCATCATCCATAAACATGGAACCTCAAGAGAAGTGTCTATGTTTGCAGACTCCTCAAGCAAAAATCATGACCACTGCAGCACTACCAAAAAACAAGGGTACACCATAAAATTGGTCAGAGAAGAGGTGGCCTGAAGGCTGATCCTGGAATTTACTGTTTTAAAGAAGCTTAATTGAATTTAGTTTAGTCCTGGAAAGGGGCTTTCAAAAGATGCAGCAGCCCAAGAGGAACTGTGTATTCTTCCTTTAGTCTGCCTATGACATGCCTAAATCTTTGCAGTTCTCAAAAGGTGACCAACCATTCTTAGAAGGAAGGGTCCTTAGGGTCTCTGGCCCCATCACTTCATGTGATAGAAAGGCAATGCCTTCTCACCCTTTCCTACTCTGCTGATCTCATTTAAGAGAATGGGAGGCCAGAAGAAGCAAACCACAGCTTCCCAGAGGGACGGCAATACATTCCAGCTGGCTAAATTCCAGTTTGCACATGGAGAGCTTCCTGATGGCAGATGGGTACACAAAGTGGGTGGGAGCTACAGCACCATTCAGGACAGCGTTTCCCACAGCAGTGCAGTCTGTCACAGGAGTGGCAACTCGTAAAGCGGCGGTTGGCCTTGCCCTGGCCTCAGGCCTAGTGATGTGCTACTGCAAACCTGCACAACAGGGAATCCCTGCACCACCACTGGCCAGAGAGCTCTGGCTTTCTGACCATGGGACTGCAGCCCAAGGCATGGCAGGTGTCCAGCCAGCAATCCAGAGAGATGCAGCCCAAGGACCACTTAGAACCCATTGGACAATTTTAGGGCTGCTCCCTAAATTATTCTTCCCAAACAAGGTAGGCCAAAAAAAAATTGCTGGTTCCTGGAAATGACCAAAACTGTCCTCCAATTGAGTCAGCTAGGACAGCAGAGAAAGCTTTCATTATTAAGGGGGCAGAGGGGTAGACTTGCAAGCTCATCTAAACCAACTCCTTCAAAACAGACTCCAAATATTTCACCCTACAAGGGATGGGGAACTCTGGAAGACTGGCATCAGCCGATATGGTCGAACAGACTGCAGGTTTGGAATCCAAATGTGTCTATAACTGTTCACTGATTGTCATTCTGTTCTCCCCACATTTTAGTTTTGCTCATTCTGTGGCCCACAGCCTGTCTTGTGGAATAAATGATACAAGGAATTGAAGAAGGCACACTGCACCAAGGGGACTCATCAGGCAGTCTGCAGCAGTGGTCCAGGGCTACTCAGCTCAGCCTCAGTCATCTGCAATGAAAACCACCTCTTGCTATCAGAGTCAATTATATAGATGGGACTTAAAAACCAAAACAAACTCATATTCTCTGGTTTGTAGGAAAGAATATCTTCAGAGCAAACAAAAAAAAAAAAAAGGAGGAGGCATATTTTTAATATCAAACTGGCCATCAAAGTGTTCACTAACCTTTAATAACTGATCTTTTCATTTTGAAATATAGGGTTCAATATGGGTGGTCCAGAAATCACTTTTATTTTACTCAAGGGCTGTGTGGCCTCTACCTCAGGAATCTCAGTTCTCATGAGAGCAGTATTTTGGGAGGCATTGCATGAGACACACCAGTTGAAGCAAAGTTCCCAAAGCCCAAGGGGGCCTATCACAGTCACCTTGTGCTACCAAAGCACTGAGCAGGCAAGCCCCTAAGCAGAACAGGAGGGGAGAGACCCAACAAGCCAGTGTCCCTAGAGCTCTAGGCCATTACCCCCTGTGCTGTGTTCTGAGATGAGGCTGCTCTCCCACTGCTTCCCCAGGAAAACAATGCCCTGTGGTCTCACAGCCTTCTAGGAATCAGTGGAGGACTTCCATTGAAAATAATGGAAATTCACATTGGCGTACTTTCGATCCTTAAAAGGTAAGTCTCTTTTGATCCTTGAAGATATTCTCTCAAGCCAGGATGGCAGGTAGGGTGGGGAGGAGAGAAGTTTAAAAAGGAGGATGATCCATTTCATCGAGCCAAGAGGCTGGGCTAGTTGGAAAGTCGGGATAGCCTACACTGCTTCCTGTGGAGATGTCAGAGGTGGGTCCCCCAGCCATGGCTCTCAGCGTCTGGCTTACTCCCTGCCCTGCATGCGCAATGATGCCCAAATTACTGTCCACCGTGTAATCCAGCCCATTGAGCAAAGGAGCGTGGGATGGCAGGGACGATATGGAAGATGGAGACTGGGGGATTCCATAGGGGCTCCCATCCCTCAAGTCCTGATAGGATTGTCCTGTCCCGTCCATGGAGAAGCTCCCATTCATTAACTGTCCGCCTGTAACGTCCCCCACGTTGCCATAAATCCTATTGGTGTGGCCAAGTTCTGAGAGAATTTGATCCTCTGTGGACAAAAGAACGGAGATTTATTGTCAGCCGCCAGGACTCTGATGGTCCCCTGCTCTTCACAACCTAGGAATACATGTGACCAAGAAAGACACCCAAGGACGGCAGCTGCCTTGCAGCCAAGCATGGGTCAGACACACCAATGTGGCAGCCTGACATCCAGAGGCCAACCCAGGCCAAGGAGAAAAACAAGAAACACCTGCAAAGACTAAATTCCCAGGTCCCAGAAGGATGGTCAAATGTTTGGTGAGCTCGCTGGTCCCTTGTGGCTCGTGTACTAATACTCTGGCTACACTGAGGAGGATGAATGCCTAAGACTGGGTGAGTCAGATGTCTCCACATCACGAATGGAAACTACATACTGACAAGATTTACCCTGAAAGCTTTCAAGCTGAGAAAGGGCTTGGTTTAGTTGGTTGGGAAGCAAGCAGGCCCGTATGGTCAGGGAAGCTGAGGACCACTCTTGGACATCTGTACAAAATCCTCTGGTCTATCTGGAAGAGAGGTTCAATATCAGAGGACTTGGTTTCTGTCTGTATTCAATAAACTCTTCACTGGGGACAAGGAATTGACTTGATTAAGGCAAATGAACCTTCTTGTTTCTTGAAGAATTTCATTAAAGGAATCTAATGGAATCTTTGCCACTTGAAAGAATTGATCTCTCCAACAGAGGTGAGCAGTTTTAGTCTTTGGGTAATTATTCCCAGAGAGACCAATGATAGGTCAGCCCAGGGACCCACCTGCATCCAACAGAAATGAGCTTAACCATCCAGTATGTTCTAGGTGTTGACTTCAACAGCCCAGATGAGATTAAGTGACTTTCCTAATCCTGCCAAGAAGCCTAGAAGGTGAGCATTAGTCCCATGAGCGGTCCCCAAGGCCCCACAGCCCCTGTATTCTGAGAGGAGGCTGCCCTCTAGGGCTCAGCTGACCTCTGGGCTGAACTACAGTCCCCCCAGGGCATCGTGGTCCTGGCAGGCAACTTGTTCCATCCTCTGTCTCACAAACTTCTTTTTCTAATTCCTACGCACCAATCCCTAAATAAGGCCTCCCCAGACTAGACTTCAACACCCCATCCCTTCTGAGGCCTGCCCCCCATTCCCCTTAGAAAAAACATGGTGGGGGGAGCTCATGCTCTTTAAAGGGAACAGGAAGATGAAGGCTCCACTCCACTGTCAAATGGCCTTGAGTTAGCCTTTTGCCTTTACCTGTCATCCCACATGACCAGGGCCCTCTGCGGGAGCCGCAGGCTCCTTGTGGAAACAATCATGCCTTCCAGGTATACAGATGTGCCAGGCTTTCCCCAAGCCCATCTATAGTCGGTTGTGTTCATTGATCCCCACAACGCAGTGAGAGGGGCAAAGATGGGGTATTCCCCATGGGAATACTGGGGCTCAAGAGAAGTGAATCGATTTGACAGAGCCGCGCTGGAAACCAGGTCTCTGATCGCCAGTGGAGTACTCTTCCCTTCCCCCCTCCGCAGAAGACCTTCCACATTTGGGAACTCAGTAACTGAGAACAGATATGATTCTTTGCAAACAACCTGAGGATTCACAACATGCAGTAATTTGCAATTTTGCTGATGCACAAATTTGAATATAGCGCATGCTGCAAAGCTTGTGTGCAGGGGACAGAATGAAGTGAGTGGTGGGGGAAGGGGGTTCGGAAGTGAAGCCAGTTCCCCATCTCACATGCACTCACAACACTGATTTCCCAGGAAAAAGGGCCTGCAGAGCATGTCCTCTCCACCACCATGACTGGAGGAAGGGGTGGCTCTAGGGGACCATCAGAGTAGGCCAGTGTCCCAGCAAAGGGGACAAAGATGGGAGAGGGGCTAGGGGCACAAGGCTGGGACCCGGTCCTCTGTTCATAGCTGTGTGGACTGATGAAGGAGGCCCCAGTCAGCAGGAGGGGAGGGGAGGCCTTGGGGCCACAGGACGAGGCCTGGCCCATCCCAGCTTCCAGACCTCAGCAATCTTGTTTCCTACTCCTGTCCCATGGTAAAGGGCCACTACCATTTCCCCCACCCTTCACTGCAAGTCTTAAGGAAAAGCCTGTGTTTGGGAGGCAGTTGCCAAGGCCTCAAGAAAGATCCCTCCTGAGTGCCAGGGATTACAGATTCCCAGGGGACTTTCCTAAGGCCTTGGCCAGGCCCCTCCAGCCCTGCTCACCTCGGAAGCTCAGCTCACTGTCACTAACCCCACAGTCCTCTGCAGAGCTCTCCTTCTCCTGCTTGCTGCCGCCCCGGCTTCTCTTGACGCTCTTATAGAACTGCCCCCAGCGGTGCCGCCCTGCATCCTTCTTCAGGCGTTTCTCTTTGGCCCTTCTGTTCTGAAACCAAACCTGCCACACAAGCACAAGGGACACACTCAGGGGCGTCCACCACGAACCCAAAGCCCCCGGGACCCCCAAGGCAGGCGGCTGGAAGCAGATTGAAGCCTGAATGGAGCGCAGGTCTGGGAGTGCCGTGAGCCCCACCCCCTCTCCCCAGGTGGGCCTCAGAACTCTTCAGTTCTGGCAAAAGCCCTGGGGTCAGGCCCTGAGCCCAACCACCAGTGAACTGATGTCACTCAGGACACCTTCCACCCCATCCCGGGCCTGGGATCCCCGGAGGGCACAGGAGTGCTGGCATCTCACCTGTACGACCCTCATGTCCAGGCCTGTCTCTGAGGACAGCTGCTCCCTCACGTGCCGGGCAGGCTTGGGGGAGTTCTTGTACGCATTCTTTAATGTCTCCAGCTGCTTGGCTGTGATGGTGGTCCGGGGCCGCTTAGCTCCGGCCTCTGAGTCATCTGCAAGGGAAAACCACTGCTTACTGGCTTCGGCCTATCTGCAGCAGCTGCGCCTCCTCCCCCACCCTCCTTCCATCCTTTCTGCACCTAAGCCTGCCTGCTGTAGGCAGGGCAGTGCGAGGCGCAGGGGACATCAGAGTGGAGAGGTCCCCAATCTCATGGCACCGGCTCCTGCACCACAGGCCTTCCCAAGCCACTGGAAAGTAAGGACCGCAGTCCTTTCTCTGCTCAGCTCCCTGCTCCTCCCCTCCCCTGCCAGCCCAGCTGCGTAGAAGTCTCATCAGACTGAATGAATGCACCAATTCCACACATGTCCCTGTCATGACAACCACTCTGCTCGCACATCCTCGTGAGTTCTTGCCAGAGCTGTGAAGGTGAACAGCCAGGCTGAAGTCTGTGTTTCAAGCCGCCCCGAACACCTTCCTCTCTCTAATGGGGAGTCTCCCATTTCCCCACAGCCATGTCACCTTGGCCCTGGCGTTGCTGGGCTCACAGCCAGGGGTGAGCTTGCACACCCAATAGTGTCTAAGCAGGTTTCTAAGCTATGGGTCAGAACCCACTCGTGGGCTGTAAAGTCAACTTAGTGGACCAAAACTAAAAGAGGAAATCAGATGAAGAGAATGGAATGGAATGGCAAGATCATTTCATTAACCTTTAGTTTTTATTATATGAATGTATGTAGTGAGATGAAATATCAAATGAGTTTTACCGTGGATCATAGTCAAAATTTTTTGAAAAAACTAGTCTAAGGAATGTTCTGAGCAACACATTGATCAACACAAAGTCCTCTACAGATTTTGAGTGAACAAGCTAAAGTTCCTCTTAAAGTCTGGTTTGTTGCATTCAAAGTGAGGCAGAGAGAGAGGCACGTGGGTGTGTTCAGAAGCACAGATGAGCGGAAAGGTTTGTTTCTTCTCCCAGCACTAAGGCTTACTGCCCTTTTCTCCACAGTGCCCCTGGAGGACACAAAGAATAAAGTCAGCAGCTGGCCCGGGCAGCTCTGCTCCCTGTGCTTGCTCCCCTGTGTGCCCCTGAAAGTGTCTCTGTGCCATTCCTGACTTCCTCTCTGTCTTTTCTCCTTTCTTTCAAGAAAACCCTCTCTTAGAAACAATAATAGCCAACATGTGTTAGCACCTACCATGTGCTGGTGTTGACTAAGGACTTTATATGCATTCGGTCCTCACAGTGTACAAGGCTCTCCCTGGAGTCAGCAGACCTGGCTTCCATGTTCTTGCTGAGTGAGTGACTTGGACCAGTAACTCACCTCCCCCTTGGAAGCCCAGAGGGCAACACAGCCTGCCCTGGTCTTGGGAGGCACTAGAGGAATGAAGCAGCTGTGTGGCCAGGACATGTGTGCACACAGTGAGGGGTGCACACAGTGAGGGGGACACACCCGTGCCTTCCCTTCTCCGTGGGCTGTTTTCTTCTCTTACGTGGCCACTGTCATCCCAGAACTGCTGTGGCCCAACTCCCTCCCTGAAGCCCCTGCCGCAGAGATGACACTACTTAGAGAGTCATTCCAAAAGACAAAGGGGAACCTCCAAAATGCCTTCCTTTTAATTCTGAAGAGTCAGTCCCTTCTGTGCATATTTATAGTCTACACGGGAGTGTCTGATGCAACTTTGAATTATGCAAATGGGAAATACTGCACTTGTATACAGTCTTTATATTAAAAACTGTGAAATAATGCAATCACCAAAAATGTTTTAATTCCTCGAGAATCACTTAATTTCAAAATAGCTTGGCCTGGGAAATTAAATTCTTTTCGCCACAGCCAGATGGCAGCGCCGCTGGGATAGACCGTCATCCTGGTTGGTGGCCCGCTGGTTCGGCCCTGCTACTCACACGCACAGGACTTTCTTCTTGCGATGATGGGGACTAATATGCTGTTATTTTAACATTCACTGTTATTATAATTTAAAATCTTTTTTATATCCTATAACAATGTCATCCAAGTATTCATTAAGTAGCAGTGGCAGTGCTCTTGCTGAAAAATGTACCCAAAAATCAATAACTTTGGTACGGAAGTTAAATGTGATAAAACGCTATGAGGAAGGCCAAGGGAGCCCATGATACCCTGGGCTGTTAATTTAGGAGAGAGCATTCTGCAAGGTATTCAAGATAATGCTGAGAAAATAAAAAGTAGCATTAAAGTAAAGATACACTTCACTGGTTATGGATTTATGTGCTCTCAGAATACACCACCCCCACCACACACACACACACTACATTAATTCCTATGGGAAAATTAGTCTTAAAATATGTTAGTTTTGAATGATGCAGGGTTTCCTAGAACTTGTCCCTGGCATAAAATGCAACCTCATTATATTGAAAATGCAAATATCCAGAGAGACAGCACAAGTGAACAAAATAATTCACACTAAGCTGCAAGTAACTGCTCTGAGATCCTTTGTTTAGCTAATGGGAGGGAACTGTAAGCCTGCAGGAGGGCTGAGAGTAGCAAGGAGGAATTAAAACAACCTGAAAAGACAGCCAGGCATTCTGCAGTGGACAGAAGTCCCCGCTGCTCCAAGGATCACCGATTGCCCAGGACAGAGGAGCCCTGCCTTGCTGACAGCCAGGGTGGGGTCGGGGGAAGGACCTGGGGAACAGGTCAGAAATACTGTGTAACATTCAGCTGCTTTAAAACCTCGAGCACACCTCGCCTCCCTGTTTGCACTTCTCTTCCACGTTGGTCTCATTCATTTCACATCGCATTTCACAAGCCTCATCCTATTTAAACCTCAGGAAAACAGCTCTACGTGGCAGCTGCTATGATCCCCCATAGACAGCTGAGAAACCGAGGGTCAGCCAGTTCTACAACTTGCCAGGAGATCTCCCTGTGTGGGGGGATGCCCAGCCAGCTTCTGACAGCAAATTCAGCATCTTCCCACCATCCTGCAGAGGTCTGCTGTGGTGCAAATATTCATCGATAAAACTGTGAACACCACAATGTCATTCCCACCTCCCCAGCCAGATTCTGACCAATCTACATTTGTTTCTCTCATCTCTTGAACCACCCACAACATCAGGAGATGCTGAGCTGAGAGTGCTCAGAGTCCAAATGAGGCCTCTGATGAAGAGAACCAGCTGCAGGCCGGGGAGGTCATGCCATCTTAGTATCTCTGATGAATGACACCAGACTTCCAAAGGTGTCTTGGTATCTCTGAGTCCATCTGCTGTGATGGTTCATCCCTGACAAAGTGCCCTAATCTCCCGTGACATCACAATTGACTTCAAGGCAGTAGCATGGAGTGAGTTTTAAGAGCAGATTAGTACCTACAGGCACAGAGCCTTGGGATGGGTTTGCAGAGGCCGCAGGTCTCTGGAGGAAGGAGGTCAAAGGCCTCTGTCCACCCTGAAAGGCCAGAGCTGTGGGGGTGGTGGAAGGGGAGGTCCTCAAAGAGACAGGAAGCCCTGCCCACTCCTGCCGTGGACCAAAGCCAAGCCCAGCTCCAGCTGGCTCACCTAAAGGGCCCTCATGAATCCCCTCTGCTTCCTCACCACCACAACCCCCTTATTTTATACTATGTTTATTGAACAAAAAACCAATTTCTCCATTATTGATCAGATCTGTATAACATATGTGTGTGGGCCCAGAAGAGATCTAGAAGGAGATACATAAAATTGTTGCTAAATTTTTTTCTCCTCAAGCCCAGAGCTGTCAACAAGAGTCATTTTTGCACAGTAACACCCTGAGTTGATCAAAATTCTAGTCAAAGGCCAAGGAACTCGATGTCTTGTGTGTTCACACATCTGAGATTATCATGTTGGGTTTGGCCAAATCCCAAATTCAGAGCCAGGACCTGACCCCACGGCCATGTGGGTGCATCTGGGAGTGAGGCCAGAGGTGGGGCTGCAGGAATAAAAGTGTCCAGCTTGGCCTTGCAAGGGGAGCATGAGGAATGTGTTGTTCTGGGCTCTATCCTGGAAAGTCCCCGGGCTGCCCAAGACCATGGCATGCAGGGTGAGAGCTGCTGCTGCCAGGCCAAGCCAGGCCTTTCCAGGGGTGGCTGCTAAATGAGGGACCTGACTTCAGCCTCCACCATGCAGAGCTTCTGCTGCCACCATGGGCAGTGGCCCTGGAGTAGTTGTGGTGAAGCGAGAGGGGGGCTATGTTGAAGTGGGTGGAGGGAGCTGTATTGCTGAGATGGAGCCTCCCTGAATCTGGCATGCGTCCCGCCTCTTCATTTGGCACTCACCGGGCACTTGCTGCAGAAACACCAGGAGCCCCTGCCCTGGAGGAGCCCACAGTCTGAGAGGGGAACAGAACACAATTAACTGAAATACAAGATGTGTGAAGTGTGCAGAGGCCAGTGCTGGGTTCTCCCCGACGGCCTTTGAGGCAGGGCCTGCTGAGAGGTCCATGTGCACCGTGATGTGCAAAACTAAGTGGCAGCCCCACATGTCCAATACAGACCAAGCTCCCAGCCGCCCCTCAGCACCCCAGCCCCAACCCAGGGGAGGAGGCCGCCACCATGGTAACATCCAGGTTCTTGGCTGCTTCTGAGCCTACCACGGAGACAGGCAGGCTCTCAGGAACCACGGCTGGATGAACACTTCCATGCAGCCGGCGAGTGCTAACGGCCGGGGAGGTGCTCAGCATTAACTCTCAGTGTGGAGATCCGGGATGCTTCTCAGAGGTGGCGGTGCATGAGTAGGGCTCTGAGGGATGCGCAGGTGGGATGCCATGAGAAGGGCACCTCAGGCAGAGGGCGTGGCCCGAACAAAGGCCTGGAGAGGGGACCATGCGGCGCCACGCTGCTTACCGTTCTGCTTGGCCGTCTCATAGTCTTCCTTGCACACCAGCCGCCCGTCCTCCATGAGGTAGAACTCGTCCCCCGTGGCCAGCTGCCGGTTGCAGATGATGCAAGCAAAGCAGTGCAGGTGGTAGACAAAGTCCTGGGCCTTGCGGACCACCTGGGTCGGGGGGATACCCTGCTGGCAGGCTGTGCATTTGGTGCCGAAGCGCCTGTCAGGGCAGCAGGAAAGGATTAGGGCACACAGGGTGTGGGGCATCTGGCTTCCCCCAACTTCCTGGAGCCACCTCCCTCCTACCCCACCATTCTGGGACTCCATGAGCCTCACCCCCCAGCCAGCCAGAGCTTACCGTCTGGTCCTCTCTGCCTCTATCTAGCTTCATTGCTTTGTGCCTGGAACTCTTCAACCACCAAAGAAGGGGCTGATGAGAACTAGAGACTCCCTCAGGTACCTTTTCCAAAGCTGATGCCCCCGGTTCCGGCTGTCCGATTAACACCCATCAATTCACAGGCGCACCAGGTGGACTTTCTAAGTCCCTCAAAGCAGGCTGTCTCCCCCCGCACCTCCCGGCTTCCTCGCCCTTATGGTTGATCCCAGAGGACATCCTCACAGGGAACTGTGTGTGCCACAGGCGGGTGTGTATAAAGCACCCAGCAACACCTTCTCACACGCTCCCAGGGAGGAGGCCCTGCCTGGCCAGGGGACAGCACGCTGCGGAGAAAACGCACTTTGTCAGCAGAGCAAGGCTCTCCTAACAGCTGTTCTCTCTCCTTTGCCTCCATTTCTCCCCTCACCTCCATTCTGCACACTCAAAGCCCTCTGAGCCTGCCTCCATCCCCTTCCTATGCACGCACAGCCTGGGGCATGGTGGTTTGGGAAGGGCTCAGAAAGCTGCACCTTTCAGCCCCTGCAGCATTCGGGACAAGGAGTCTGCAGATTGCAGTTTGGAAAACGCCGCTTCAGACTTCTCCTTGGTCAGCACCTTTCCAGAACAACACTGAAGAGGCCACCCACTGCCACCAAGGCAGCTTCTACCAAGGCAGCCGGCCCCTGCCAAGGCCGGGAAGGAAGCAGAAACGGACACACTGAATGTATAGTCCAGCGGGGTTGTTTCCGCTCCCTTTCCCCATTCCGATCACAGAGATCAACAGAGGCGCAGCAGCAGTCACAGGAGACAAGGGAAATTTGGGGGCCGACAGGGACAGTGAAGGAGGGTGCGTGGCTGCAGGTGAGCCCTCCCTGCTTCAGGAGGGAGGCGGGAGGCATTGGGGAAGCAAGGGCAGAGTTTAAAACAGCAATCAACCTAATTATTCATGACATTTCACACAGCAGAACTTTATCTTCTTCAGGATGAAAGACTTCGCCTAATGGATCTGGGGAAGGTTTGATTTTAATGGTCCTTTTAACTAATGCTTATAGGCAGCCTGATTTCCCCTGAAAGGACAGTACATATTTCATCCACATTAATACCAAATAAATTAATTATGGTCATGGCTATCATGATGAATCCCAGATTAATGCAGAATGATGGGTCTCTTATGCAGTAATGATACCTGCTGAGGGGGCTACAGGGGCCCAGAACAGGCACGGCCAGCTGCAGCCTCAGATGCCCCCCACCAGGGACACGGCATCCTAGAGAAAAGTGGGGGTTCTCTAAGTCTGCGTGGGTAATCCCGAAAGACCCAGAGCGTACTTCAGGGACACTCTTCTGAGATGGCTTTGAGAAGGGTGTTGGGGTGTGAGGGACTGATACGTGACTTGGGAGGACCCCAGGCTTCTGAATTCCAGGACTGCCTCTTGGTTTTCAGGGAGATGGGGCCCCTTTAGAGCAGGAGTTCTCTACCTGAGGGTCAGGATAGGCCTGTCAACCACCTGCTAAGTTGTTCAAAATTGTGCCTCAGGAGGGGACCTGGGCTTTTATCAGATTCTCAAAGGGATTCAGGACCCAGGAAAGTAGAGTTAATATTTGTTGAATAAATAAATCAGCAGATAAAGCACCATACTTGCAGAGGATGTGCATGGAGATGGCCGAGTCTGAGGATGGAGAACAAAGCACACAGTCGGCTCTGGACGGTTCTGGACCTCCCAGAACACAGGTGAGAACCAGACCCTCCACAACTGCTGCGTAACCACATCACCTGGATCAAAGAGGAAGGCTGGCAGGCGCCTAGATCTAGTGTGTGTGTGTGTGTGTGTGTGTGTGTGTGTGTGAGAGAGACAAAGAGGAAGCCTACACATGTGTTACTAGAGAGTGTTTTCAAAAGGCCTATATATTTGATATCCAATCCTGGCCAGTTTGCAAAGCAGGTACTAAAATGAAACAAGGCACCAGATGCGGTGCTTCTTAAAGCATGCCTGCAATCCCAGCACTTTGGGAGGCTGAGGCAGAAGGATCAC